GTGGAAAACTGGAAACTGTCTTCCAGCTATTTCACCTCAATTCATATTAAGACAAGCTACCTGATCTTCCACCAATTTGTCCAGTCTCCTTTAAAACCATCTAAATGGCAGCTACTAATAGCAAATTCCAGCTATACACTGTGAAGAAAAAAAGTTCCTTTTATAGTCTTAGAATTTCCAAACATTTAATTTTAATGAATTATCTGAAGTTATAATATTATACGGAAGGGAGAAAGCTGCTTTTTACCCTCAGAAATACACAGTTTGCACATTTCTTTGGTGTCTTTCCCTATACATTGCATTTCAGTTTATAAAGCTTTAGTTGCTATAGTTTTTTCTTGTAAGAGAACTGCTCTAGATATGTAATTGTTTGGGTTGACTCTTTTCATATTTTCTAGTTTTTTAATATCCTCTTTTAGATGCAGTGACCAGCATTGTGTACTTTCTCCAAATGTTAGTTTTTATATATTTTCCTAAGGGAGTTACTGTATCAGCAATTCTAGTTTAAATTCCCTTTCTGATATTCTGAGCATGGAATGTGTCTTCTTTGTTCTCCTGTCTTTCTCCTTCTTACACAGCAGTGAAAATACATATATGCGCATCCACGCACACACACACACACACATACACACACACACACACACACATTTATGTATGTTTGTGTGTGTGCACATGTATGTGTATGTATTTTCACTGCTGTTTTAGGAACAAGGAGAAAGACAGGAGAACAAAGACAAATTCTATGCTCAGACTATCAGAAAGGAAAGAGCCATGGTGCACAGTGGTTAAAATACAATATTGCAGGGAAACTTTGCTCACAGCCAGCAGTTTAATCCTGACTGGCTCAAGGTTACTCAGCCTTCCATCCTTTTGAGGTCAGTAAAATGAGGACCCATATTGTTGGGGCAATATGCTGACTCTGTAAACCACTCAGAGTGTAAAGTACTATGGAGTGGTATATAAGTCTTAGGTGTTATTGCTATTGCCAATTCCCCAGACCACATATCTTCTTCCATGCCAGCTGAGTTTGTTCAGGAATTTTTTTGTGAAATACTTCGTCAAATGTTTAAAAAATCCAAGTATATAGTATGCCTGAGTTTATATAATATACACCAAGTTTCTTTGTCTATATGTTTGCTGATGACATCATCATCAATAAACTATTTGTAAGATAAGATGTGGTTTGTGGAAGCACTGCTGGCTTTTCAACAAGCTTCATTTTTCTATGGAGTTACCTACTTTTGCCTTTAATAATACAACCATTTCTAACAGATTTATCATTTCCACTATTGCCCCTAGCTATTTTCTAGCTCTTTGAAACAGATACTGATGTGAAATATGAATTGCATATTTCTGGGAAAAGATCAGAATTTTCAGGTTGGCTTAGAATTTCATGTCCATTACTTTTACTTTAATCAGATAGAGCTGAGACCCTATACCATTTCAGGCTGTCCAGTTTTTTCTTAAAAACCTCCAGTGATGAAGCACCTACAACTTCTGAAGGCAAGCTGTTCCACTGATCAATTGTCCGCGCTGTTAGAAAGTTTCTCCTTAATCCCAGGTTGCTTCTCTCCTTGATTAGTTTCCATCCATTGTTTCTTGTCTTTTCTTCTGGTGCTCTGGAAAATAAGTTAATCCCCTCTTCTGGCAGCCCCTCAAATACTAGAATCCTCCTATCATGCCATCCATAGCCTTTCTTTTCTCTAGTCTAGCCATTCCCAATTCCTGCAACCATTCTTCATATGTTTTAGTCTCTAGACCTTTATTTTACTTTCATTTCCTTCAGTCTTCCTCTTGAAAAAGCCAGCTTGAATATACTGTAAATATCTATACTACATTCTCACCTGTAAAAGCAGAACAAAATAAATGGTTTTATATCATCCGGAAATTTGACAATTACCCCTTCAGTCTGTTCATCTATGTCAGACATGTCAAACACAAGGCCCAGGGGCCGGATGCGGCCCACAAAATGGTTTCATGTGGCCCATGAAGCCATTCTGGAAACAGTGAGGGAATGGCCCCCACTGCCTTGGCCCTGGCCCAGGCCAGCCGGGAGCCAATGTACAATTTTGTGGTGGCCATCTATGCTGAAACGCATTCAGTCTTAGCTCCATAAGCCCCGCCCCACGCATGGCCTGAGAGGAACAGTGAGGCTCCTCCAGTGGACCATGCCTTGGCACTTGCCCTGGTCCCACCCCCTTCTGCCAGAGACCCTCAGATCTATCCCACTCCTGCCCATGCCCCCACAGGCACCCTTGACGCGAACGATGTAGAGCTGACCACACCCACCCAGTAGGCCACACCCACACTGGCCACACCTACCCAGCCACCTGAGGGCAACCGCAATGCTGATGCAGCCCTCAATGAAATTGAGTTTGACATCCCTGATCTATGTCCATTTTTAAAAACACTTGGCAGGTTTAAGATGTGTGGACTTCAACTCCTAGAATTTTCCAGCCAGCAGGGGGAGCTTATTTATTTAAAATATTTACTGTATATAGAGCCACCCATCATCTAACCAGCTCTAGGCAGCTCCCAATCAAAGTTAAAGCACCATTTAAAACCATATTAAAACTATAAAACTAAACATATTAAAACATTAAAAACAATAACAAAAGTTGAAGTTTGCATACCTTAAAGTTGTCAAGTTTGAAACATACTGGTCTAGATCCATAATAAAAATTTTGAGCAACATATGAGCCAGGACAGATCCCATAGTGTTCCACTTAATACTATTCTCTCTAAGCTGATGGGGAGCCATTTATGAGAACTATCTAAGTGTGGTCATTCAGCCAGTTATGACAATTACATCTTTTAGCCCATCTTTTACCATTTTATTAATAAGGATAACAGAGACTTTGTCAAATGTTTTGCTGAAGTCAAGATATACTATGCCCATGACATCCCCCACCAGTTTATTAAGATAATGAGTCTGTTAAATAGAATATAGGGTTAGCGTGACATGACTTGTTTGTGATTAATCCATTCTGCTTCTGGCTAATGTTGCATTCCTATCTAAGTGCTCATAAATATGCTGTTAAAAATCTATTTAATCAGGCTAATTGGCTCTGAAATTCCTTCAGTCCAACATATTCTTTACTTTTCTGAAAAGAGGGACACCTTTTGTTCACCTGCACTTTTGGGGGATGTCACCAGTTTTCCAGGAAAGATGTCAGGAGTTGTGCAACCATCTCTTCTACATCCTTCCATGTTCTAGTGATTCATCCTGGAAATCTGACTTTGTTTAAATTTGCTAAGTGTGCTTTTATCCTCCCCTTGTTCAGAATTATCTGCAACTCCTTCCTTCCATCAGTGTCACTACAGTAGTCATTGGGGCATCAGTTCCTTTCTGAGAGAAGGCAGACATAACATAGGAATTGAGATATTTTTACTTTTCCTCATATCCTGTATCACTGATGGCGAACCTTTTAGAGATCGAGTGCCCAAAAACTGGCCCTGCCCCTACCCCGCCTGCCCGCAGGGCCACTCACCACCTCCAGGGCCCGCCACAGATTGCCCAGGCAGCCCACCAGCGCCATGGCAGCCACGCCCTCTGCCCATGCCCCACAGCATCAACTGTGCATGATCGGGCGTGAGGATAGAGTCTTGTTTACACTGCTGGCTGCCATGTCCTTGGCTGTGCTGCTCCGTGTGGGCCACACTTGGAGGTGACTCTCCTCCAGGGGGCTGCTGGTGAGGGAGGGTCGTGGGGGGAGGCAAAGCTGGGGCAACAGCATGTGTGCCCACAGAGAGGGCTCTGAGTGCCACCTCTGGCATCCGTGCCACCACTGTCCTATATTTTCCTTTATGGATGCTATGTCCCTGGAGCTGTGATGTCTCATTAGCTGCGGCTAACCTGTGTTTGCAGAGCTCTAGCAGCCAGTCGGTGCTCACCTTTTCCTCATGCTGGTCCTGGAAGAGTTCAAAGAAGATAATTCAATGAATGTTCCATTTTCTGAATGATTCCTGCAACCCTCAAATGTAACAATAAATTACTAGCCTTCCCATCCATATTTTTCAGTACAAGTATGGTACTTGTGATTGCTGATTTCTGGGGGCGGGGAGAATCTGATAAGAAGTTCTTCAAGGAAAAGTCAATTGTTTAAAAAACAAACAAAAAAAACAAAAGCATTAAAATAGTCCAAACACTTCCCAGCTGCCTTGCTGCTATTGTTATATTTAAACATCTGTGAAGGTGAAATGCAAGTACATTAACAATTTCACTATTGGTTGTTTTTTCCAATAGCTGTGATCATAATTGCATGTTGCAGCTGTAATTGGATGGGAGGGGGAGAGATGAATTCTAAACAATGCATATAGGAAGAGACAAACATCAAGAACATTATGCTAAATTATTCTTGGGAAATAAGGGATATTTGCCTTGAGCTCAGAGCCAGTAAGTGAGATGAGGCAAAGTTTTATGCAATGGAGAGGTGAACTGCCCCATCCCTACCCCAAAACCTGCAGAACTGCAAAGAAAAGCACCAGCTTTGCAGTCCTTAAATGAACAAACAAACCAGGGCAGAGCCAAAACCAAAGCTGAACTCCTGGTGAAGTCAGGTTAATCAAGGACTACGCCAATCTCCACATGGCACAAAACAGGGCAGAAGTGCTATGTTCCTCACCTTCAAAAGATGTTGAAGTGAAGGACACGCATTAATTTTCGGTTTTGCATAACTGCTGCTGCAGGTTGTTTTTACTTTGCATAATTCATTCTGGTTCAGATAGTTTTTGATATGCAGAAAACCCACCCTTAAGATACTGAAGACCTTATTTATCATCACTGTGGCTGCTGAGGTGTCCCAAAGGCTTGACTGTATCTTCAAAGCAGTGAGAAGTAGAAACCGGATCCTCCAAATAGTGAAACCCGATTTCTACGCCCAATCACATTCTATGCGTTCCCTATGCACAGCAGAAACAGACATACAGCTCTAAGAAGTGCTCCTTATCGTTGTCAGTTTCCATTTAATATTTTCTTCTCTTTTTTTTAAATCCAACAGTACGGAAACAGGAAATCATTAAGGTGACAGAGCAGCTGATTGAAGCAATAAGTAACGGGGACTTTGAGTCCTACACGTGAGTGTATCTGCTGTGTGTTTTGGTTTGTATAGAGCAGGGGTAGGCAACCTTGGCTCTTTTATGACTCATGGACTTCAACTCCCAGAATTCTTGAGCCAAGGTTGCCTACCCCTCGTATAGAGGGAAGAAGTACACTTCTCAGCTTGCCCAGTGTGTAGGAGAATAGTTAGTAATTCTAAATGCCTTATCTATGGAAAACAGCATAGTGATGTTGGCGGGATTTGAAAGGTCTGCTTGCTCTGAAGGCAAGCAAATTAGTGACTTTCTTTGACTAGTATTTAAAATATAGCTAGAAATTGACGTCAGGAACTTTTTATCTGTCCACTGTAAATTATCTTGTTATTATCTTCCATCTTAATTATTTAAAAAACGGACTATTTTGGACCAGTGATAAATCTCACCTGTTACTGCTGATCAAATTGTGATTCCTGGCTGAGAGAATGAACTGCATGAATGTATTTAATGAAGAATGGGGGACAAAGACCTGTTTTTTCTTTTGTCCCTGAGAATGAAGTTTAAAAAAAAGCAAGTATTCAAAAACCTCTACTAGCTCTGAAAATAACTAAGTAGCAAGGTGATTCAAACATATCATTGTTAGATCCCTGCAGAAATCTTGAAAGAGATATGGAATTAAAGAGAAATAATTTTTTAGAGATGGTTCAGATAAGACAATATTGCTCATTCTTATAACATTCTGGTGGATTCAGACAATATTGACCTTCATTTGTAATCCCATGTTTTATTTTATTATTAAAAGGGAAGACAGAAAAGCTAATTAATGGTAACAAAACATCCATGAATTACAAGGGTATATCCTTGGTGGGTAATTATGAATTAAGAGAGTAGTCTCCATACATTTTTTTTAAAAAACAAACAAACAGTAGAATGTTTTATTTGGAAACAATAGTTTATCTTCTCCCTTTGCTGTTATTGTTCCTTTAAGGTTTATTTTCTTTTAAAAATAGATTTCTCGAACATGGCTCTATAAAGTCTGCCATCCCATTTAAGAATAATCAGTACAGTACGAGCAATATAAAATAATGCCATTATTAAATTGTTTAAATCATAAACCAATAAAAAAGCAGTAGCAAAGAATTCCCATCTAGAAGATCTATAAAACACAAAAACTTGTGGACCAAGTAGATGTATCACTTGAGAATTGAAACCCTCCCTTTAAATCGTCTCAGAAGTCAACCAGTAGCAGCATAATTTTCTTCACACAGTTGACATGGACTTTTAGCAGGTCACTGCTGCTCCTGAGAATACTGTAAGACTTTTAATTCATCTTTATAAACACCCCTAAGCATATTATGTCAACATATGTCACAATATTCCAGCATGGAACTTATAAAGATATATATTAAGGTAGATTGGTACAAGGTACTTCTAACAAGAATTGGCACTTCTCTCAAAATGAACACCTGATCCTTCAATGAGATATACAAGGAAGGGACTTTGATCCCAAATCAAATCAAATTCCTATAGCAAAAAAAAAAAAAAAAAAACCCTCCTCTCTTTGAATTCAGTTTCAGTGTGCTTACCATGTTCATAATTGACCTTGTCATGTCAATCAAAAGTCAATTGGATTGAGATGGGTGGCTATAGAAATTAATTGAATGAATAAATAAATATCCTTGGAAGCAGTGAAGGACAATTTTTTGAGGGATATTGCCCCACCTCCATTCACAGCCTTTTCTCCCTCTTTTTCACTGATGGGTGGGTACAGTTTTATACCCTCGCTTTATATTCACCAACATGATGAAAAGCTTCTAAATAAATTTGAGTAGTGAAATAATTATTTTTCTTGATCCTCTACCTTTTTATGGATATCTCCAGTAAAATGTGTGACCCTGGAATGACAGCATTTGAACCAGAAGCTCTGGGGAATCTGGTGGAAGGGCTGGATTTCCACCGGTTCTACTTTGAAAACTGTAAGCATCCTTTATGTTTTGAAAAGTTGCTGGACTTGGATTTAATTCTGTGTGTATGTTTAATCCCTAAACATTCAAAGGATGGAAAGGGGAGGGCATAGTTATGTATTTCTATGTGGAAGAGTGTTTTGCTTGTGAGAGAGAATGGTTGTTATATGCAAATTGAAGGATTAATTAATTATATAGGCCATCTCTATTTATCTATTAATTTATTTACAATATTTATATACCATCAATTATAGGCAATTAATTTTAATTTGTAATTTCCTCCTCCTTCTGAGTTTGTCCTTTTGCAAATGGCTTCTAATATATATATATATATATATATATATATATATATATATATATATATATATATATATATATATATATGTAGGTCTTTGGTTGTTCGGGTTTTCTCCCACGTAAAATTGGAAGTGTCTTGGCGACGTTTCGACGAAGTCCCATTCGTCATCTTCAGGCTGGTGCTTTCAGCTTCGTGCCTCGAGCAGCAGTGTGTGGTCTTGGCTGTTTCTTCCTTTTAACTGCCAGTGGAGGTATGAACTGATTGGGTGGGAGCTTGGCTGTGTTCTGATTGGGTGGAGGTGTGTTCTGATTGGTTAGGGGCTTGGCTGTGCTCTGATTGGCTGGGGGGTTGGCTGTGCTCTGATTGGCTGGGGGGTTGGCTGTGCTCTGATTGGCTGGGGGAGTGTTCTGTTTGGTTGTGCTCAGGTTAGTCTGAGTTGCAGAGGGATTCAAGATTTTGGGCTGCCCTGCCATTCCTTGGCTTCGCGTTCGTGGTCGTGCTTCCTCTTCATGGAGGGTGTCAGTTTGCTTCATGTATGGATTGGGGGGGTTTAAAGTGGCTAATGATGCAGCTGTGGTCTGGCTTCTGGTTTGTGGTCGTGCCTCATAGTCAGTGTGGCTTTGGGTTTGTTTTTTGCGTGGATGTTTGGTGGTGACATCCTGTGTGGTTTTTGTGAGTGTGGGTCTGGTATCATTTTTTGTGTTAGGGAGTCGTTTGTCAATAAGGGCGGGTTTCCAAATGGCTGGTAGGCGGGAGGTATCATCTCGCTTGTTCATGCTGTGTGGGCGTTTTTCTATCTCGATGGCTTCTCTGATTATTCTGTTATTAAAATGTTCACTTTTGGCAATGGTTCTGGTATTTTTAAAGTCAATTTCATGTCCTGTGGCTTTAAGGTGTTGGACCAGGGAAGATGTTGGTTCCTCTTTTTTGACTGAGTTCTTATGTTCTTCAATGCGTGCACTTATTCTTCTGTTGGTTTGTCCGATGTATGTGGTGGGACAAGTGGTGCATGGGATTTCGTATACTCCTTGATTTTCTAATTCAATTTTATCTTTGGGGTTTCTAAGGATGGTGGATATTTTTCTGTTTGTGCAGAATGCTGTTTTGATGTTGTGTTTATGGAGGATCTTACTGATTCTGTCTGTGATGCCTTTTATGTATGGGAGGATGGCTTTGCCGTTTTCTTGTTCTTTGTCTTGGATTTTAGTGGGGGTTTCTTTTTGGATTAGGTTTGTAATCTTATTTCTATGGAATCCATTGGATGTTAGTACATTGGTGAGAGTGTGTAGTTCGGGTTTTAGGTGTTGTTCGTCAGCTAAGCGTTTTGTTCTGGAGATGAGTGTCTTGGCTACAGAGTTGATCTGTGCTGGGTGGTGGTGTGAGAGAGCGTGCAGATAGCGGTTTGTGTGTGTTTTCTTCTGGTAGATGGTGTGTCCTAGGGAGCCATTGGATTTCTTGTAGACTAAGACATCCAGGAAGGGAAGTTGGTTGTTAGCTTCTGTTTCCATGGTGAACTGTATTTTGGGGTGTAGGCTGTTGAGGTGTGTGAGGAAGTTGTCCAGTTTTTCTTTCCCATGTGGCCAGATTATGAAGGTGTCGTCTACGTATCTGAGCCAGAGTTTGGGTTTGTGATCAGATTTTTCTAGAGCTTGGGTTTCAAAGTGTTCCATGTAGAGGTTGGCAATGACAGGTGAGAGGGGTGATCCCATGGGTGCTCCTTCTGTTTGTTTGTATTTTTGTCCATTATAGATGAAGTATGTGTTGGATAGGCAGTGGTTGGTCAGATCTAAGATGTGTTTGGGGGGGTTATATTTGTTTTGAATAGCTGTCAAGGCTTCTTTGATAGGCACTTGGGTGAAGAGGGATATGACATCGAAGCTCACTAGTAGGTCGCTGGGCTGTAAGTTTTGTTTCTTTATGATCTCTATAAACTGGAATGAGTTTTTTACGTGTGAGGTGATGGATTCTGCATAGGGCTGTAGTTGTTTGGCGAGAAATTTGGCTAGGTTTTGTAGAGGTGAGCCTATGGAGCTGACTATAGGTCTGAGTGGGGTTCCTTCTTTGTGTATCTTGGGGAGACCATAGAGTTTGGGGCATCTGGATGATTTCTCTCTGGGAATGATTCTTTGCTGGATCTCTTCGCTAATGGGGGAGGCTTTTATTTTGGATCTGGTGGTTTTTTCCAGGTAGGTGGTGGGATCTGTATTTAGGGGTTTGTATGTGGAGTCTTGGAGTAGGTTGGTTAATTTGGTTTGGTAGTCAGATGTGTTCATAACCACCGTGGCGTTGCCCTTGTCTGCTGGTAGGATTATTATGCTGGTGTCTTCTTTAAGGTTACGTAGTGCTGTCTGTTCCTCTTTGGGTAAGTTGCTTTGGGGTGGCTTGCTGGTGCAGAGGATGTTGGTGATTTCGAGTCTGATTCTGTTGGCGTCGTCGGGGTTGATTTTAGTCAGGCTGGTTTCAACTCCACATATAATGGTTTCAGTGGGGATGTGTTTGGGAGCGACTGCAAAGTTGAATCCTTTGGAAAGGACATTGGTTTCGGCTTTGGTGAGGATCCTATCTGAGATGTTATGCACTGTTTGCTTCATGTGTGGCTGTGAGGGAGGAGGGGTTTGTTTCTGGCGTTCTTGTAGTCTTCGGAGTTTGTTGGTGTGTGTATCTGTCTTGAAGGTGGTCTGTGTTTCGGCTCTCCAGACGGCAAGTTGTTTGGATTTGTCCCAAAGTGCGGGGTGGATCTTGTTGCTGAGTTTGAGGTGGAGTGTGAGGAGATCTTTGTTAATTCGGTCTAGGAGGAATCTTTTTGTGTGAAGTTCATTTCTGATTAGGGCCAATTCTGTTCTTTTCAGGATCCGTTTGGTGGCTGCAGAGTTGGAGTGGAATTTCAGTTGGAAACATGTGGGGATTAGATTTTGATCTCGGCAGTTGCGTAGGAATGCGAGGTCGCATAAAATGGAAGCTCTTTGGACTTCAAGTTTTTCATAGGTCCTGGTCAGATGGTGGATTTCCTCCCCGTAGAGGTTCAATATTTGTTTTCTGAGGTTTTCGCGGGTATTTGTATGTAGGTCTTTGGTTGTTCGGGTTTTCTCCCACGTAAAATTGGAAGTGTCTTGGCGACGTTTCGACGAAGTCCCATTCGTCATCTTCAGGCTGGTGCTTTCAGCTTCGTGCCTCGAGCAGCAATGTGTGGTCTTGGCTGTTTCTTCCTTTTAACTGCCAGTGGAGGTATGAACTGATTGGGTGGGAGCTTGGCTGTGTTCTGATTGGGTGGAGGTGTGTTCTGATTGGTTAGGGGCTTGGCTGTGCTCTGATTGGCTGGGGGGTATCCACCATCCTTAGAAACCCCAAAGATAAAATTGAATTAGAAAATCAAGGAGTATACGAAATCCCATGCACCACTTGTCCCACCACATACATCGGACAAACCAACAGAAGAATAAGTGCACGCATTGAAGAACATAAGAACTCAGTCAAAAAAGAGGAACCAACATCTTCCCTGGTCCAACACCTTAAAGCCACAGGACATGAAATTGACTTTAAAAATACCAGAACCATTGCCAAAAGTGAACATTTTAATAACAGAATAATCAGAGAAGCCATCGAGATAGAAAAACGCCCACACAGCATGAACAAGCGAGATGATACCTCCCGCCTACCAGCCATTTGGAAACCCGCCCTTATTGACAAACGACTCCCTAACACAAAAAATGATACCAGACCCACACTCACAAAAACCACACAGGATGTCACCACCAAACATCCACGCAAAAAACAAACCCAAAGCCACACTGACTATGAGGCACGACCACAAACCAGAAGCCAGACCACAGCTGCATCATTAGCCACTTTAAACCCCCCCAATCCATACATGAAGCAAACTGACACCCTCCATGAAGAGGAAGCACGACCACGAACGCGAAGCCAAGGAATGGCAGGGCAGCCCAAAATCTTGAATCCCTCTGCAACTCAGACTAACCTGAGCACAACCAAACAGAACACTCCCCCAGCCAATCAGAGCACAGCCAACCCCCCAGCCAATCAGAGCACAGCCAACCCCCCAGCCAATCAGAGCACAGCCAAGCCCCTAACCAATCAGAACACACCTCCACCCAATCAGAACACAGCCAAGCTCCCACCCAATCAGTTCATACCTCCACTGGCAGTTAAAAGGAAGAAACAGCCAAGACCACACACTGCTGCTCGAGGCACGAAGCTGAAAGCACCAGCCTGAAGATGACGAATGGGACTTCGTCGAAACGTCGCCAAGACACTTCCAATTTTACGTGGGAGAAAACCCGAACAACCAAAGACCTACATACAAATACCCGCGAAAACCTCAGAAAACATATATATATATATAGGGTTGAAGTAAGAATACTTTACTAAAAATATACTTATACTAAAAAGTTGCCAAGCTTTCGCTGGGGGAACTCCCCAGCATTGTCAGGGCTAAAAGGCCATTATAATAAAGGTGTGTCTATAACGTTATGTTCTTTTCTTCGGATGCCCCTCTCTATCCCTCCACTATTGGTCTTTGGAGGCATTAGTAACCTTGCATCCCCTCCTCTTCCGATAATACCAACGCCTGCCGTATCGGGGGGAGGATTCAATCTGATGTTTTCTTGTGTCTTATGATGGGGATAGGGTTCCACTAACTATGGGTTAATATCCCTTCCCAATTGTATACCTCTCTCCTCCTTTGTCATGTCAACAGCTCTTATCTGAGTATGGTATGCCTCAGCAATCATGTCTTTATTCACCACCCCAGTCCTCCTTACATCCGTTCCCTCCCGTTGTTTGGCACTCAAACCGCTCTCGTTACTCCTCCCCTTACTGATCGAGCGGGTTGTCATTCTATGCTTTCTCTCCCCTCTCCATGTGGGACACTCCTCCTCGTTGCTATGGGCAACCGCACACTCCGAGATTTTAACGTTAAGTCTTTTAGGTGTTCCGGCTCCACTGGTATCGCTTCCTCCCTCCTGGGGGAGTGTGAGCCTCACATGGGGTTGTTGGGCGGTGCGTAGATCATCCGTATCGGGCACCCTCTCCCTTTCTTTCTCCGTGCATGGGGAGTCCGTAGCCTCTATTCCAGCATCCACATGTTAGGGTGGGAGACTCTCTTGCTGCACGATCTGGTGCCGGTCACCTGGCAAGGGGGTGTTGATGGTATAGTTATTTACGTCCGTATGCAGGCGTTCCCGGCGGTGGGGGGATGCGGCTTCCTGTCCATAAAGCCGCAAGTGTTGGTATGATCACTTGTGATGTAATGAGTGGTAATTTGAGTCCCATTTCCACAGCGCTTGTTGTGCTGGATGCAAGTCAATGCGACGATTAATTGAGCCGTCATTTGAGAACCAGGCCTCTTTCAGTATCCGGCCTCCCTTCGTGGCATCACTAGCTACGATACAGGTATTGGGAAGGGATATTAACCCACAGTTAGTGGAACCCTATCCCCATCATAAGACACAAGAAAACATCAGATTGAATCCTCCCCCCGATACGGCAGGTGTTGGTATTATCGGAAGAGGAGGGGATGCAAGGTTACTAATGCCTCCAAAGACCAATAGTGGAGGGATAGAGAGGGGCATCCGAAGAAAAGAACATAACGTTATAGACACATCTTGGTTATCAGCTGGCCAATCAGGGCCAGTAACACGGTCTAGGAGTCGTGCGCAAACGTTACTTGAACCTACTTAAACCACCTTTATTGTAATGGCCTTTTAGCCCTGACGATGCTGGGGAGTTCCCCCAGCGAAAGCTTGGCAACTTTTTAGTATAAGTATATTTTTAGTAAAGTATTCTTACTTCAACCCTCCCAAAGACCTACATATATATATATATATATATACACATACATACATACATACATACATACATACATACATACATACATATATATATACATACATACATATATATATATATACACACACACACACACACATACATACATACATATACATACATACACATACATACATACATACACACACACACACACATGATAGAAATAGAAATGGAGATAGAGATATAGAGATATACCTACATATAATGTGTTACATGCATATAATTTGGGAGAAGGGAAAATTTCCAGTTTGAGCTGGAATTGGAAACTCTATGTTGTTAAGGCAGAGAAGTTGGCATTTATATTCTGTCTACTCTTCATTTCATGAAGTCAAAAACTGAGTTTTGAGTTGATGTTGTATATATTTTACTATTACATTTCTATAGATCTCTAGTTGTTTGTAAAACAAAATCTGATGTTGCTATGATGGAAGGCTGACAATAAAAAAGAGAAGTACAGAAACAGCAGTATTTAATACAGATTTAAATCCCTATTCGTACAGATTATTCTTAATGATTCTCAAAGTTTTACACAAAATCATTGGTGTTTTAATGTGGAGTGCATGTTGTTAGATTCTGAATCTGAGCTAAAAGTTTGCACAGTTGTTAAATTAAGCTTCTTAGATTCAGTTTTGAATTGGAGCAGCAAAAAGTATTTGTAGTCAATGAATAACAGAAATACACCTTTGAAAGAAATATTGTACTCTGTTTTAAATGTGGCTGGAGCACGCACTGAAATCCTAGCAAAATGTATCGCACGTCTGTTTTTTTTTTTTTTCAATTGATTCAGCTATTTCTTCACAAATGAGGTAATAATCTCTCAGGTACCCTGTGAAGATATTGGAAGCTACCTTCATATCAGTGAGTTTTGGGTTTTTTTTTCCTTTCCCCATCTGCAGTGTGGTCCAGGAACAGCAAGCCAGTGCACACAACCATCCTGAATCCACATATCCACTTAATGGGAGATGAGTCTGCCTGCATTGCTTACATTCGTATCACACAGTATGTGGATACAAGTGGAATCCCACGCACTGCCCAATCGGAGGAGACTCGAATCTGGCATCGCCGGGATGGCAAATGGCAAATTGTTCACTTCCACAGATCTGGAGCACCTTCGGTTTTACCACAGTAAGTCAATCCCAAGCTATGCTGATTCCTATTATCACTCCTCTTGGCACACAGATAGCTATATACAGGTGTGTCACAGTAAAATATGGATTCAAAAAGTCATTCTAAAGAAGATAGTAAAAGAGAACATCAATCAAAGTCATTGTTAATGCATCCAATATATAAACATGCAGTATTGTTTCATTATCTGTGCCCAGCATCTAAATTTAGAGCTCTAAGAAGTCCAACAATGAAGCCGAACAAACATTAATGTATTGTTGGGCTTTCACAAGAATGAAGTATATTTTAATATACTTTAAATGGATCCAAGATAGCATAAAGTTAACCTTCCTCTGTTCATATCCTTCTCAGAGGCATGGGTAATTTTTATAGCTTACATTAATGTGTTTGAATAAAACTGCATTCGTTAAATAAATAAGCAGTCCTTTTCTTCAGTGTTTTTAAAGAAACTGCCATTCTTTTTATTCCATTATCATATCCATACTATTATATCATAGTATTATATAATAATGGTATGTAATGGATTTTTTATACTGTACTATTTTGTGCTGTGGGAGGGTTGACATTTTACAGCCTGTGATGAAAGAGTGATGACCCAGCAGTAAGAATTTGAAACATGGGATTCAGATTTTCCTTTTCCTTTTTTAAAAAATAAGAAACTTAGTAAACTATGTAAAATTCTTCATGGAGGGATGGAAAAAATGTAGATTGGGCTGAATAACACTAGATGATTCACCCATTAAAAGCAATGAGTGCTTAGCTCTGAAAAGTGTGGATTTTGCATTCTTTTGCATTCAGCCATGTGTCTGGAATTGATTTTTTTTTTCTGTTGGGTTCTTATATGTAACAACTACATGGATGTTAGGTACAATATGACCCTTTCCATGCAAAGTAGAGCTGCGCCTATTCATTTGGCCGCTATAGACGGGTAAGAACTTCATTAAATTAATTTATCAAACATATAAATGTGCACAACTGTCAAGATGATTCCATATTTGTCTAACAGAGGACATTCATACAGCTTTAAACAAGTGACAAAAATAATTAATTATATGAGGCAAGAACAGCTAGTTGTGAAGAACCAGTTTTAGAAAACAGTGTTTGGGTGGAGTAAAATTTGCCCATCACTAGCCACCAGCCCTAAAAAGCTGCAGTGAAGCCCATTTTTATAACTGGGTTGACAATGCTTACATGTATGCTCTGTCTTGCATATTCTTTTATATCAGAGTTTGAGGGTTGAATACGCTATCTTCCATCTTCTCTCTTCAAGAGAAAATGGCTTTAAGCAGTTCTTGGGGCTGTGTAGGCCAACCCTAACTGAACCCAGTAGCACAGGTGTGGGGAACGATGGCCCTTTATGACTTGTGGATTTCAACTCCCAGAACTCCCATGCTGGCTCAGGAATTCTGGGAGTTGAAGTCCACAAGTCATAAAAGGGGCATCATTTCCCATATCTGTAATAATAGCTGGTCATTAGGCAATTCTTAGCAGGCTGTTCTCTTCTGGTCCCAAGGGATCATGGGTAAGAAGAAGCCCTTCCAACATAGCAGCCAACCTCCTATACAGTACATATTTGCTGTTAAAAGCCATCTTTATTTCCCCAGATTGTGAGAACTGGACACCAGTAGCAAACAAGGTTCCATATTTGTCTACAGAGGACATTCATACAGCTTTAGACAAGTGACAAAAATAATCATGAGGCAAGAAAGGCTAGCTGTGAAGAACCAGTTTTAGAAAACAATGTTTTGTTGGAATAAAACAACTATTTATTTTTGTGTCTTTCAGCTGAAGCACATGCCCTGCAGGCCAGGTTTCTCACTGCCTCACTACAAAAGGAAGATACTTGCTATCCTTTATCTAGGGAACTTGGCAGCTGGCTTTCCTATTTGTTTCTTGCTGGAATTCCTTTCATCCTTGGAACTCCTTACCAAAATAAACTGAGCACTCAATAGACTTTCTCCTCCTGTTTCACCTGGTTCATGTTTGCTATTCTGTGCCATCCTAGTAGAAGACAGCATGTGTCATGGCCCTGTTGCAGGAAACAGCTTTCTGTATACAACAAGAAACCAATCTGGAAGAGGCTGAGATAAAGCCTTCATCAAATTAAAAAAAACAGCACTTTCTGGCCTCTTCTCCTGGAAGTTACAAGCTACAAGTAGCTGCTCCTTCTAATGGGAGGCCAATTTCAATTGGAACATCCAGACACTATGTGAGGAAGCCTCTCTGAGTCAATGCCAGCATTTTCAATTATACCTGACATCAGCTGTCAAGTAAATACGATATTACACACTCCTAAAACCAGGAAGCAGGCAAATAACTTAGGTGCCCATACGCATCTAATAAATAAACAAAAATATTTGGTTTAAACTATTAATTACAAAAATTCCAAACAAGTGTCTATCACTTGAGAAAATCTCTATGCTCACAAATTTTTCTTGGAGTGAATTAAGGTTTTTTTTGAATGGCGTGTAAAATATATCATTAATTTATCTTCCCATTAGAATATGTTTTGTGATTAGGCTAATAGATATTCCCAACAATTCTAACAAGAGAAATGCCCTTTTCTTTTATTAGAGACTGGGCTGAAAGGAAATGGCCAGTAGTTTGTCATCAAGACCATGACTCTAAGTCAGTGTTTTTCACACTTGACAGTTTTCAGATGTGTGGACTTCAACTCCCCATGCTGACTGAGGAATTCTAGGAGTTGAAGTCCGCACATCTTAAAGTTGCCTGATTTGAAAAATATTGCTTTAAGTCAGGGGTCTTCAAACTTGGCCCTTTCATGACTTGTGGACTTCAACTCCCAGAATTCCTCAGCCAGCTAAGTGATCATAAAAGAAATAATAGCTGGAAAATATTGACCCGATAGCAATTGTTTCCAGGTTAGTTTTCAATATAGTAAGATATTTTCAAAATAATGAAATATAGTGAAGTATATAGTTGCCACTATTCAATTTACAATAGGAGCTTTGCTTATTATGACCAGTTGGGAAACAGCTGCCTAAAAAAAGTGCTGTTTTGACTTCATAGGCTACTGGCATTGTCTTTGTCTCAGCAGGTCTTTTGTTTCCTTACCTTTAGCATTATGAATCTTATTTTCTCTTTGCCTCTCCAAGATTTGGGTTCTTAATTAATTAATAGCAGTAGCAGGGCTCCCAGATCTGGGCTGTCTCTCTTTGCTACTATCTAGCACCAAGCAGTAACAATCAAATAAATCAACAAATGACTCCCAAACCCCTCCACCTACCTTTTCTACATATACATTTCAGGAAACGTGGCAGCATGGAAGATATCTATGGTGTGGAAAAAGAACTGCCCATTAATCTGAAATAAAAATAGAGGCCAACCCTTTCCAGCAAAGATAGAAAATGCAAGCTTTACAAATGACACTTTGAGGCATTTTGATGATGCTTTTAACAAACAAAATGAAACCTTTAGCTATTTCTTGTACTTTGCATGCCTTTTTATAGGAAAAATGAAACCCGTGTTATTTCGTAAACTTTTGAGTATTGCTGAAATGGATCTTTATGTAATACCTAGAAATATCAACTGTTTGGTTTGTGGTTGATTTTTTTTTTTAATAAAGTTTGGGTGGGGTGGGTGACTTAATATGTTATTGTTTACATTTGGAGTTGACTTGTGATAAATCGTTATGAAAAGTGTAAAAAAAAGTACAAGAAATTAAAAATGGGGAAGAAGGATGTGTGACATGGCCCTGTGGAAAGGTAGAAAGAAGTTGACATAATACAAGAAACCGGTCAGGTTCACTTGTTATATGCTACAGAAGTCTGACAATCCAAACTGCACATCTGAATGGCATCATGAAGACGGAATCAACTTTGGAACAGTGGCAATGCCTGTTAATATATCATGACATAAAAGCCAGCTTGAAGAAACAGAGAAATGGATTCTTCTTAAGCCTGTATAATTTTTTTTGAATGATAAAGAAAACATGTTGAAAATGACCTTTGAAGGCAGCACCTGCTTGCCTTCCAAGGATAGATATAAGAAGCCTGAGGATTATTTTTTTGGCAGTCTCTCTGTTTCTTGTTACCTTTTATTTTTTCCAGCTTTAAGAATCTTTACTCTTTGGTGTGAGATTAACTCCCATGCACTTCTACTACCAGGGGAATGAACTTATAAATAGCACTTCCTTCATCTGCATGACATCTAACTCTATAGACCACTATATGTATTTCAAAGCAAACAAACAGTGCTTGTTTAGGAACAATTACAGTAGAAAATGGATAAGCTTGCTGTATACATTTTGAATGATGTAGTTTTACCTTTTTCGTAAAAATGCTTAGCTTCCCATCTTCTAAGACAGTGTGAATACCTGATGCTATAAAACTATGTTTGCAAAATGCAAGACTAATTTCCCACTGGAGCAGGAGGGAAGTGATGACAATTACAGGGCGCCTACTTGATAGGATTTGATTGCCTTAAATAGAAGTTTACTTTTTTTATATGGAACAAAGTAGAAATATACCATTTACACAAACTGATAACATAATTGGATAATTCAGTGAAGAATTATATTGAGATTATTTGAGCTGAGAAGGGCTTTTAGAGTTCAAGAGGTATTGTATTATTGTATGGATATGAATACATGTTCATAATTAAACTACTTGGCTTTCAGAACATTTGGGGGACTTCCTTATCCAATTCTATCCTGGCATTTCAGATTAGCATGGCCCTTACTATCATGATTATTCTGTCTCATATCATAATTTTATATTGCACACCACTAAGCCTTCTACCTAGCCCTGTATTCCAAGGAAGAAATGTATCTTCTTTTGTGCTTGAATCTCCTTTTAACTTGTTCATCCTTAAATAATTGATTAAAGAGCTACTCTTGTGCTCTTTCCTCATGAAAATCTCAATTTAGGTAATAAATCTTAGATATTTGTCAGTGTTGCTAAACCTTGGCAGCCCATCTTGTCTGAGTTTTTACTTGTAGAAAGAGTCTCCTACCCATGTTTTCTATCAAGTGTTGCCATTAAGTATCTTTCTTAATGGCAACTTAAATATTGCATTTTGTAATATTTTATAGCTTCCAGTATCATTCTGAACAATGCTTTGACAAGCTAAGAGAAGCTGGAGTCTACAGGAAGCTGAGTTGAGTTTTTAGTCTTCCAGTAAAAAAAAAAAAACCCTGATAGACTGAAATGTATTTCAACTCCTTTGAGTTTTGCCTGCTGCATCTGACATAAGCACCTGCACTTTAATCCTCTGGATTGCATTGGCATTTCTAAAACTTTTTTTTTCTTAGGTAAGGAAGCATTTATATCCACATTATTATCCATTGCTGTACTTGTTTCTCTTCGCATTTTCTGTCCTTTCTTACTCTTTCAGATTTCTAGCATTTGTAATGGCTCATTTCTCATGATTCCAAACATCTGCAAAGAAATTGTCAATAAAACACAACGTGTTCTTATTATTTATTTTGTACCTGCTAGGGCTCATAACTAAGATTATCTTTGAAGACTGACCTGCTTTCCTAGGCCAGACAACGCAGTAACTTTCTTGATTGTAACATCAAAAAGGTGGGGAAGAAGTAGCTTACATACTGTACATCATTTTATCCTAAGAAAAGAACTGTTTCTATTTTTATTTAAATTATTTTGGCAGGGAGAGGGAAATTATTTTGGTGTCTAATGGATGCTAACTTTTTCTAAACACAATATCTTTGTTAATGTTTGGACAGCATCTCATAACATTTGCCTGTTCTTCCTTTGTCGGCATCATTTTTTCCCCCTTCTAACAAAATTGACAGCTTGTTTGTATTGCTTTCCGCCCATTCCCCAAGAAATTTCATTGATTTTATTTTTCTCCTACTTTTCTTTAAAGCAGAGGGGAGGGGAGGGGAGTGATTTTTATAATCTAGCAAAACATTGTCATCCCATACAGAAATATCAGACCCAGAACTGTCTTTTTGGATGTTGCATCAAAGTAATGGAATCATATTCAATGTGGTTTTTTTTTTTAAGTAAAAATAGCAAAAGTTTTGAGCAAAAAACAATTCCTGCACTCATAGTTAAGAAAGGATGTGCAACAAAAGCATCATGAATGAAAGGATAAAGATGCACAAACTAATCCAAAATCAAATCTTGTCCATAAACTGCGATGCAGGAGGTCTTGTCTTGACATTACTCTTTATGAAAATAGGAAACCAGGCTGATGTGTACTTTGTCTATTAATATTTTTATATACCAGTACGGAGATATCTCTTTCTCTGAAAATTTTCTAAATTTTCAATCAAGGTATCTAGTTTAGTTCTAGTACAGTGTTTAATAGAGCAGTGTTTCCCAAACTTGACAATTTTAAGGCATGAGGACTTCAACTCCCAGAATTCCACAGCCAGCAACGCTGGCTGTGGAATTCTGGGAGTTGAAGTCCACATGCCTTAAAATTGTCAAGTTTGGGAAACACTGCTCTATTAAATTGAACAAGATGAAAGAAGACTGCTCCAGCTGAAATAGTTTGTGAATACAGAAACTAATTTTAAAAGAATAAAGGAAGAATATTTTCTGCTGCGCTATACATTTACCTATTCGTTATTTTGCAAATCAACTTATTTCCGGCTCTAGAAAATAATAGGCACGTTGCTGAATTAGAATATTTCATATCAGAGCTTGTGACATTGTATAGTGTAAATTAGGCTGGTGAGATGACTCCCCCCCCCTAAACAAATGGAGATTCCAAATGAAGATTCCATTCAACTTGGTTTTCCTGCATGGCTGGGAATACAGGCTGATTCTTTTTTTCTTCTCAGTTATTGTTCATATTTTCTGTTTTATTTTTATTTCCTTCTCCTCAGTTCTTGCATGGCTGCAAACAAGCCACCTTTTGACTTTTTTCTGCCCTAAAATAAAATCTTTGGGACACAGTTTGGGATTTTCTTTTTCTAACCATTGCACAATTTTATGACTTTTTAACTTTAAGGGGAAGTAACAGGAAAAAAATTAAATGGAACTATGTGTATATATAAATATATATTATATAAATAACAAACACACAATATATGTATATATATATATGAAATACCTTTGGAAATATTTATTTCACACAAATGCAAAAAGCAAAAGCAAACTAAAAAAAACAGCTTTGTAATGTAAGCAAATAAAAACTTCAGAGAGTTTCTCCCTGTCATTTGCAACTTGATGTGACTGGAATACTCAAAAAAAAAAAAAAAAATCTTCAGTATCTTTTGTACGTGAATCAAAATTGTAAAGCAGCGTGATCGTGTTGGGTTCTTTCTTCCAGTTTTTTGAAGCTGTGGCTGTGAACAAATGATCACTGCTAAAATTTTATGCTATATTTTTGGGGTGAAGGGGGGGAAAATAAGGATTGTCAGATTTATTCTTGGTGTATAAGTGCAATAAAATAGCTACAAATTCTTGTATGGAAAATACTGATTCTCGTTGAATGATTCCTACAGTCTGTCTTCCTCTTATTTCTTTGTTCAAATTCTGTCTGAGCTGGATCATTTCCCGATTCTATAACCTTTGGTGTTGGACACTGAAACCACATTCTCTGTTTTCATCCCATTCCTGAGAGTGGGAATCTGATCTAACCAATGATTCATGAAACAGGTTTTATAACTACAAAAGAAAGATTTATTTTCACGAATATATTATAGGATGAGGTAAAGCCTGTCTCGGTACATCCTAGAACAGGGATAGCAACTTAACGCCCTATGCACTTCAAATCCCATAATTCCTAAACACTACTTCAGGAACTCTGGGACTTGAAATCCATAGGTCATAAAATTGCCATAGTTGCCCATCCCTGTCCTAGAGAAAAGTTTTAAAACGTGCTATATGTGTGCACATGTAGAAAGTAGAAGGAAGTGACCTCAGATTAGCAAGGCTTTTTAGTCAGTAGATCATGAGGTCAAAGAGTCAAGAGTCATTGGAGTCATTGCCTGAATGTATATTTCCCTCCTCTCTTGACCATGCTTTCCCCTCCCCCAATAGTAGTCAATTCTTTTTTTTTTTTCATCTACCTGGATGCCTTCAAATGTATAAACTCCACCTCCCACAATTCCTCAGGCAGCATGCAGTTACTTAGAATTCTGGGATTTGAAGAATAGCTATCTGGAGTAATCAGATTTGGAGATGATGCAAGGTGCTAAATAATCGGTCCCTCACCAGTCAAGCATCCTTCAAACATTTTTGTATATTATACAAATGTGTGTATAATAGTATGCACACTTTGCTCTTTATACTTGTATATAAAATTTAGTTCAGTGAGAAGTGCTTAAAGGGAGATGAGAATGGAGGCACAACCCAGTCCAAGTCTTAAACCAGAATCAGGGTGCTATAGCTTGCACATGAAGGCAAGATTCCATGGACCCCCTTTCCTGGACTGTGGGCCCCATGTGAAAATTTACACAATTAAGTAAAGGTGAAGAGAATGAAGGGACTGAATCACATTGTGGCTTTAAAGTTAGCACAATATTTATTTATTTGTTTGTTTGTTTATATGATTTTTATAGTCACCCATCAGGCAGAAGTAGGGTTGCCAATTGGAAAGGAGAACAAAGAGGTTGGGAAAAGGAGGAAAAACTAATTGTTTATGTTTCTTAGCATCTATGGCCAAGCAAAATCTGCCCCACCCCCCAAAAAAATCTACTTGGATCTACATGCATATGAAATTAATGTTTTCCAGTTTTAGAAAGACTAGTTTTCCAATTGTGATTTATTTGCCCCCCCCCCACACACACACGCAAATCTTTATTTTCAAGAACATATGCTAGTTGTTGTCAACTTGCTCTTTAAACTTCACCACAGAAACTCATGGAATGCCGTCAGGTGATTTGCAGACCCCGGGGTTGTAGATCTGAAAGGGCTGCCTTGACAGTTAGAATCAGGAACTAAATTAAATAACAAAAATCTCAGCTGTCAAGTCTGTGGATGGAGGAGGGAAGCAGGCAGTTTACAAGGTCACAATATATAAAAGTTTGAATGACTAGTATTGTGAAAACAGTGGAAGAGGGGAAAAAAACAAAAAAGACAGATGATATTTGATTTTGAAGCTATGCTTGCCAGATGGAGGACATGAGAACAAAAAGGACACAAGTGATGCTGTCCAGCTAAATTGTTTCCAGTGACTCTGTAAGGCTCTGTACCTTTTAATGTTAGCAAGACATTGATACTTGCCTCTTCGCTCCCTGCTTTTATCCCATTTTGTCAGTTAATGCTTGCTGATATTTAATAAATATCAAGCTATATTTTTGCTAGCTGGACTAAGTGGTATATCTACTTGCACTGATCTTCATCTAGGGACTGACTGGGACGGTGCTGCTGTATTTTCCAATGCTCTTTTCTATAAAGCAGTGCCATCTAGCGGGACTTAAAAGGAATGCCTTCTCTGTTGCTGTGTAGCCCAATATGCAACTCCCCAAGCCTGAGATCCAGAAAGCCCATACTCTGCTAGGTCTTTCACAAGACTTTAAAGGCTTGGCTTTTCCCTCCAGCCTTGGAACCTGGACCTTAACTGAGCTGAGCTGGATTGTCTGTCTTTAGTCATTTGCAAGATGGGGTGGATTTTTCGGACCTTAGATGCACCATGCTTGATTGTTTGCCCTAGCTGTTTTAAATACTTTCGAGTTTGTTTTTTTTTTAAAAAAATTGCTGTTATCAGCCTAGAGTTATATTACTTAAAACAAGCAAACAAACACAAGATCTTTGGGAATAGAAGGAGTTGTAATACCCTCTGCTGCATGGTGAGATTCAAATACCTGAACAACCGGTTCTCATATTTGATGCAGGCCTGGACCTCCAATGCCTAGAACAGACTTCCGGAAGTGGCATCCGCACACTTCTGGTGGGCTGTTCTAGGCCTGGGAGGTCTGAAGAGACTAGAAGCATTTGAAATGTGGACTTACAGGCATCTGTTACATATAAGCTGGGTTGACAAGATCAGAAATGAGGAGGTGATAAGCCGTCTGGGAAAGCCAAGGGAAATCATCAAAACAATTAAAAAATGAAAGTTAGAATATTTCAGACATGTGATGCAAAAAATACGCCAGAAAAATACGCCATACTCCATTTAATCCTCCAGGGAAAGATTGAAGGCAAATGAGGTCCAGACAGAAGAAGAACATCATGGCTTCAAAATCTAAGGGACTGGTTTGGACAAAACTCAGCAGTACTCTTTTGTGCGGCTGCTGATAAAAACAGGATTGCCAACATGATCGCCAACGTCCAATATTAAGTTCCAATGATGTCCATATCATATCAGTTCTAGACCATGATTTATGTCTATTTGAGTAAAATGTATATTGTAATTTCTTTGGATTTTTCTCTCTCCATATATCTTGGATACAAAAGTCTTCTGTCATTTTTAAAAGTGCTTTAGGTAATATATTTCCTCCTTTTCTCTCTTGTTTAGTGCTTTTATAGTCCAAAGTTGCAT